GCTGAATAGAGACGCAGGGCGAGCACGAGCTCTACTGCAACCTTTGTGCTGGCTGTGGTGCATCTAGCAGCGCTCGCACAGATTGACAGTTGCATGCAAACTTGAGACAAGCTTGGGACTTTTGAGAAGACAGGACTCTGTGAGCGCGTGCTCACAGCCTGGAGAGATTGACTCCATATGCGCGTGTACACATATGGACATGAGATTAAATATATATATATATATACATACATATGTATAGAGATCATATTGATATAATAGTTAGAATCCAGATGGTCTTTTCTGCCCTCAGATTCGGGATAAGAGTTCTTCAGCTGCACAGCTATGACCTGTGGCCAGGAGAGTTGCCCTTTAGCTTGGGAGATGATTTCATTTGTCCGTGGCTGAAGCGGAAACAAAACCAATATTTGAAATATGCAAAACACCCAACCAACGCACAACACACAAGCGGATGCCTCTTGTGAAATATTCCGAGGTGAAATGGGAGGCAGTCATTCGGTGGGACGAACTTTTGCCCAGGTGGAGATGCTGGTTTTGAATGTAACGAACGACTCTACGAGAATGCTCGGAACCTCGGATGCTTTGCGTTTTAGCTTTTAGCCGATTTTAGCCGGAAATTCTCAGTCAGTTTTCTCAGCATATTTAATGACGATGCAGGTGGACTGGTTTGCTGAACACACAACACTGACACTTTGCAAGATGAGAATTGATATGACAGAATAGATATCCTTAAGCCATTCTTCATGAACCAGCGTTCCTTTAGCTGTTCCTTTCTTTGGTTGGACTTTGAGGTTCGAAGTTGGTTTCAAGCTTCTCCTAAGGTGTGCACTCATTGTGGCGAGTCCAGGACACTTCGAAATCTTGTGGTCGATGGTACACATGTAAGCATGGTCAACCGCAGAAAAGTCTACCAAACCCTGTTCAAAAATTTAAGATTTGCAAATATGTTTGCAAACATTTGTACGTACAATTTTCTGCAGTATAAACCTCCGATCAAAAGACTTTAACGTTTAGCTGGGGGCATTTCTGCAGCACAGGATGTTTTTTTTGCGTAACGACCTTCATTCAAGGAATCTTGATCCGGAGTTGACATTACTGGCCTTTCTGCATATTTTATTGTATGTTTGAAGCATCTTTGGTCCTTTGAGGGACTTCGGGACTTCAGATGCTTCCCCAAACAGTGTGTGAACACTGAGGGATTCTTACGGTAAGAAATAAGGCCGTAGTTAGATCAGGGTACGCTCTCTGCTCCCCGGCATTTTTCCTGTAAATTCTCGCATAGGCCCTTGTGAGTCCATGTGCATTTCGACTGTGCCGGCTCGCGCAAAGTGGTTGTCGCGCTCCTGGGGCACGGTCCTTGCATGAAGATCTTGCAGAGGTTCTTGATACGATCCTCTCTAAGAGGTCCTTGGCATGAAGATCTTTCAGATGCCATGTCTTAGAGGTGCTTGTATGAAGGGTGTTGTGGGAGGCTCTTCGGAAATTCTTGTAGCAAGGTCGTAAGATCCCAGCAGGTCCTGTTATGACGATCTGGTGAGCTTCTCTTCGGGGTCCTGCCATGAAGATCTTGGTCATGGCCTTTGACAATTCCTTTTGAGAATTCTTATGAAGATCGTGACATGCAGTCAGAGGCTTTGCGCGATCTTGTACAACAGGTCCTTGTGAGAAGTTCTTGGTGAGGTCCTGGTAAAATCTCTAGGTGCCCTTGCATGATCTCGTACAGGTCCTTGTGAGAAGATCTTGTGGCGATCCTGTTGAAATCCTCCTCTTGCATTAAGGTCTTGCAGAGGCTCTGCATTGAACTGGTGCTTGTATGAAGTTCTTGCGGTAGCCTCTTTATATATATATATGGACGGTCCTGCTGCTGCAGCTGCGGTAGTGTCTAACTAACCTGACCCGCTCGCACGCAGCACCAAAAGTTTGTGTACATGTACGTATACATTTACATGTACCTATACCTATACATATAGTTTTTTCTATCTAATCTAACCTAATCTTATCTTATCTGATCTTTTCTTGTCTTATATATCTGTATGTCTGTCTGTCTGTCAGTCAGTCAGTCAGTCTGTCTGTCTGTCTATCTGTTTATCGACCTATCCAATCTAATCTAACCTAACCTACTCTAGCCTAATCTAAATCTAATCTAACCTGACCTAAAACCTTATCCAACCTAACCTAATCTAACCTAGTCATTCTAATCAATCTAATCTAACCTAATCCAATCTAAATCTAGTCCAACCTAATCTAATTCAATCTAACACCAACCTAATCCTTATCTAATCCTAGGGTTCAGCTTAATCCTAGTCTTAGTCTAGTCGCATCTAACCTCATCTATTCCAACCTAATCTAAAACTAAACCTAATCTAAACCTAAATTTGGTCTCAATCTAATCTTCTCTTATTCTAATCGTAATCTTGATCTTCATCCTAACCGTAACCAAATCGAACCTACATGCAATCTAACCTAACTTTATCTTAACCTAACCTTAATTTAAACCCCTAATCTAAATCCCTGATCTAAATCCCTAATCTAATCTCTAACCCAACCTCTAATCTAATCTCTAAGCTAGTCTCTAATCCCATCCCTACTCTAACCCCTAAGCTCCAATCTAACCTTATTTAAACCTTGTCCTAGATCTTAATATAGCCTTAACCTAGCCGGAATCTAGATGTTAATCTAAAGCTGAACCTAAATCCAAGTCTTTATCTAAACCTACAATTTTTTATTTTAATTCTTGATGTAAATCCAAATCTATATCCAAATCTAAATCCTAACCTATATCCTTAACCTAAATCCTTAATCTAAATCTTCAATCCAGTCCCCTAACCGAAGCTTCAATCTGATCCTTCATCGAATCTCTAATCTAATCTCTCGCCCAATCTCTAGTCTAGTGCCTAGTCTAACCTCTAGTTTAATCTATGAACTCTAGTCTAGTCTCTGATCCCTAGTCTAATCTCTAGTCTAATGACTAGTCTAGCCTCTAGCCTAATCCCTAGTTTAACCTCTAATCTCTAGTCTCTAATCTAATCTCTAACCTCTCCAATCTAACCCTGTAATCTAATCTCTAGTCATAGTCTTAGCTCTACTCTAATCTAATATCGAATATAATCTCTACTCTAATATATCCAACCTATCCAACCTATCAAACCTTCCTACCTTATCTATCTCTATCTCTATATATTCTCTCTTTCTCTATATCACTATCTCTCTCTCTCTATGTGTATCTATATCTACATTTCCATGTATATCTATTCATCACCAAGTAAAGCCACCCTTCGTGGTGCATTGTTATGTGAGGTAAAGTCTCACACCACCCTTCGTGATGTATTGTTATGTGATGTAAAGTCTCACACCACCCTTCGTGATGCATTGTTATGTGATGTAAAGTCTCACACCACCCTTCATGATGCTTTGTTATGTGATGTAAAGTGTCACACCACCCTTCGTGATGCATTGTTATGTGATGCAAAGTCTCACACCACCTTTCCTGATGCATTGTTATGTGATGTAAAGTCTCACACCACCCTTCGTGATGTATTGTTATGTGATGTAAAGTGTCACACCACCCTTCGTGATGTATTGTTATGTGATGTAAAGTCTCACACCACCCTTCATGATGTATTGTTATGTGATGTAAAGTCTCACACCACCCTTCGTGATGTATTGTTATGTGATGTAAAGTCTCACACCACCCTTCATGATGTATTGTTACGTGATGTAAAGTCACTTGAATAAAAGTCATCCGGAAGATTGCGTCCCAACTTCCTTTGATAACAAACTGTATCTATATGTAAATGTTGAAATACACATACCCATATACACATGCACAGACACATACCCCCTATACATATACACATTCGCTGGCATTTTCTTGTTGTTGTGCAAAATGCAGGATGTGCCCTTTCAGTCTCAGTGACTTTGTTTGTGATCGATGTGGTGGCACAGCTCCAACAAGGTGCCTCGACACCGTTGGGACAGCATGAAAGCTTTCGCTGTCACGGGACACATGTGCACATTTTGGCACCGGACAAACATGTGACGGCAGCAAATCTGTTTGCAGGTTCGAGGAGATGGAACTTCCAGAGGTGAGATCATCCGTAACCTTAGATAGGTAGTTTAATCTTTGAGTTTTTCCTAAAAACGGACAATAACCATAATCAGCAAAATACATTTTTTTGGTGGATTACCGAAGATTGACCATGGTTCTTTGAAGTGGCGCGACAGGATGAAGTGGGCATAAATTCCTGAGAAATTTTGAGTTTATGAACATCATTGAACATCCCAAATTGTCCAGAATTCAGTATAATTCAAATGTTTGAATATGTTTGAATATGTTTGAATATTGAACAGAGGGGCTTCCGTGGGTGAGGCACCGGCGGAAGAAGAACCCGACGACGGACTGACAACGGAGGAACGGGAGGCCATGCAAGAAGGAAGTGGAGCACAAGTCGAGTACCAAAGAAATAGTGGCGTAATCAATAGATATTAATAGCATATTGCAAGAATTCAAACAATATTCTGAAAACAATATACAAAGTAACTTATGACTACAACTGCAGTATTCCGATACAATCTTTGATAGGACTAAAAGACAGTGAAAACATAGAAGATGCATTGTTCCTAAGGCGACCCACATCTAGATTGGAGTTATAAGGATCTCAATGGATCCATTCAAGAACAAGTTTCCAATGATGGACACGGATTACGCATTCAAACCGCTGTGAGGTGTCTTGTTTGGCACAGCAAATCCAACGCATGACAGGTCGCTTCAATACAATTACACAGACAAACCACACTCCCGACCTACCAGCACACACCAAGACCCAGACCTGCGCCCGAGCCTACCTAAGCATCAGAAATAGTCCACTACAAGTCGATTCCTTGTGTCTGTATTTTGACCCCCGTTTCAGTCCGACAACCTGTTAACAGTTAACATAAGTCATAAGTCACATCTACACCAGGCCTATATCTTTACACCAGATCCGTTGATGCAAAGAGTTGGTTCCAAACGCACGTCCCATGTCGTCCGCCTTGGCTCTGCCTGGACTTTCGGATGACAAGAGCGGCTTTCGAAAGCATGTGGGAGCCTCAAACTCTGCGCTTTGAACTGCGTCGATAACAATTCGATGTTTTTTGTCTAACATGTTGTGTAACATGTTGTGTAACATGTTGTGTACCGTAATATGTGTAACACGTTCATGTCCTTTGCATTCTGTCCTTTGAAACCTTTGGCTCTGCTTGGCAGAGTTCAACAGAATCTGCGGCAGCGACAGGCCAAGAAGTTGCTGGAGAAACACTGCACGGTAGATGTGGCCAACGAATGGCAAGCCGTGGACGAGCCGTGGCGAAAAACTCCGAGTTCCCCACGGAGTTTGTACGAGTTCTTTGACATTTGAATCTGCCAGAAAAAATTGGGAGTTTGCCACAAGAAAGTTGTACGTGTTTCTTTCTTCACTTGACTCGAGTGCGACACTTGACACACTTTACGAGGACCAGAAGATCGCTAAGCTCCGTGGCATCTTGAAGGGTCTTCAAGAAGAGAACCAATCCACTCAGCTCCTCAAGGTGGAAAGTGAGGACATGTCGGAGCAGACTCTTGGGAGAAATCGCGGCATGTCAGAACAGAATGTCCACAAGTGAAACCTGTCATGTCAGATGTAAATGTACATGTTGCAAAAGAATTCAGATAATTCATGATTCAGACAAGAATTCATGTCTCAGCGATTTGAATTTGATCAGCTCAGCATGGTGCGAATTTGCAGGACCGAGAGGCGCAACTGGCTCTTCAATCGACGCGCAAATCGGTGGAGACGCGGCTAGCGTTCTGCAAGGTGCGAGCGCACAGGGCGAAACAGTGCGAAGCAAAAACATTGAGCTTTGAAATCAGGGTCTGACCATGATATAATCCTAACAAAACATGTGATGTGTGAAATGTTTGTAAGATGTTTGCACAAATTCCAAGTACGTCAAAGTCATTCAAAATGTTAAGGGAGAAAACGGAAAAAGGAGGTTGAAGGATGTTGAAGGTAGGGTTGCGAGTTTGGCATTTTGGAATGCCATGTGCCTTGCAGCACTTCACAGGAGAAAGAGATGATGTTCAAAAAGCGCCAAGAAGAGTTAAGAAAGCATGTTCTCGACAATCAGACTCTTGGCGTTAGCCACATTCACTTTACCAGTTGCATCATGGATACATTCAAGAACACCTCCGCAGGATTCAAGTCATTCTGAAAGAACTTTTGCTCATGCTCGCAATCGCTCGCATCAGGAAATCGCTGCAAGATTTGGAATCCCAAATTGAAAAAAGCTACTCAGCTCACAGCAGCTCTTGGCCATACTGACTCAATGCCGCATGTGTTTAAGAAATGTTTGAGAAATGTTCAATCATTTTCATCCAGGCCTGTCCAGTTCATTTTTGGGCCACTAAGACAGGGTCATTGCGTCAATTTAAGTCACTTTGCTCGCCACCAGTGGCCGACGACTGCTGTTGGAAGCCCCGACGCCCAAAGTAGCAAGTTAGAAAAAGTTAGAACGTGAATTGCAGTAGCAATAAAGTGAATCAATATGAGTTGAATATGAGTCCATTGCAAGATGAATCTGTATCCTGTGCACTGCATGAAAGGTTCCCTATGAGAACTTTTGCTTTGTGCATGTAGAAAAACAATCAGCTGCATAGCACTTGGACCAGCTGGGACCAAAGCTTTCTTTGGGGAAATGTCGAGACATGGTTATGATGATTTCTGATTGCTTGGTGGAGAGAATGTCTTGCGCTAGGTGAGAAAAAAGCCTTGGATGAGCAAGCCCAAGGCCGAAAATTGGACGTTGATATCCGGCAGTTGGAGAAGGAGCTCAAGCAAAAGGACCACGGACGAAGAGAGTTTTGTTCGTGTGAAGCAGGTGGTATTTCTTGAAACAATGTTAGCTTTTCACTGAATCGATTGCTCCTCTTTCCTTGACTTCTGGGACTATTGGCTGGATATTCCAGAGTGCTGTATATATTAACCACGCTGGCTGACAATATCATCATCATCATCATCATCATCACCAGCATCCTCATCCTCCTCCTCCTCCTCCTCCTCCTGCTCTCATCGTCGTCGCACCACAGCCGCAGCCCGGCAAACGACCTGCCTGGCTCATGCAAGACATAGGTGATGGTTTACTAAGGTCTGCCAGCTGTATGTCTAGGTTTCCTTGAAATCCTCCTTGAAATCCGTTTCGAGCAGCAGGAAGAGACCAGAGATATGGAGCAAGGGAAAATTGCAAAGATGGTCCCTTGATGTGGTTATGGGTTTCTAAGATTTCTTGCCAATTCGTTTGCTTCGGTTGTGTCATGCTGCATCAATGGTTTTTGGCAGAAACGAGGCTCAAACCCAAACAGAAAGAAAAAAAATGGCAACGGAAATGACAATGTGCATTCTTCTTGTGTTTTTGTGATTTTGTGGCTTGCAAAAGGTTTTGGAAGAGATTCCCTTGCTTGCTCTCAGGCGAGATACAAGGACTTCCTGGAACATGTCATTCAGGAAAGCCGTGAGGAATTTGGAGATGACATAGAAGTCCCTTGATGCAAATCATGCGTCAGCGCATATCAGAATATGTCATGGCTTCGGAGCGATCTTTCAAGCTTGCTCGTCCCAAGGTCTTGATGAATCGATACGCAACGTTGGAGTCCGCCAGCCAGGACGGGAATGGAGTGCCTTTGATGGTGCAAGACCTCAACAGAATCATCCTGCGTTACCTGGAAAATTGGGGCAAGGAAGTGGGAGTACCATGGCATCGAAGTAGATGATTCAAAGCGGTCTGGTCATGTCCCCGCAGGAGCTTACACAGGCAAATGAAGAGCTGGTTCTGAGGCTAGATGGACTTCGAGAAGAATTCACACGTATTCACACAAAGTTGTAGCTTGACAGAATTCAGATTCGGCGAAGATCTTGAAACCCACCTTCTTAGACTTTGGCGTGGCCTTTGAACATAGTCCGCACCGAGGCAGAACGAGCACTTGGCTATCAGTAGTCAGCTGCACAAGTGTCAGGCTCGGCTCCTGTGTCCCTCTCTCGGTTGAAAGATTTGAAATGATACCAAGCAAGTTTGAAAGATGTTGGAAGATATTGAAAGACGTTGAAAGATGTTGAGGCAGATGCCAAGAGTTTTGAAAAGTGCAGGTTGAACTGGAACAGCACTTGGCTGAGAGTCAGGACCAAACTTGGAGGGAAACCTTGAAAGGAAGCTGCTTGGGAGGATTTGTAAGAAATTTGCCTGGGATCCGATAACATTAGTTTTGCTTTGGTTTATTTTGAATGTCTAGACCATCACATTTGCTTTCGCAGTTTGAACGGGGCTGAAATGCTTTCTGGTCTCCACTTCACTCAGATACACAGCCAGATCCCCTCACTTTGTACTACTTTGTACCCTTTGCTTTTGCCTTGTACCTTTGCCTTGTACCCATTTAGCATCTATCTTGTCTCCACTTTCTTTCGTAAGTCCGCTTGCTTGTGTGGGGTTCCTGCTTTCAAAGTGTGATACCCTGGGGACGAAGACTTTTGGCTACACTTGGTTGCTAAGTCGTCTCTTGATGGGGCGGCTTGGGACCCAGGGTTTGAATGGTTTGGGCGTGTGGGGTTTCTCCATTTCAATCCGAAACTTGCCTTTTTCGTGTCCCCAAGAACCTACCAGCAAGCGAAGTTTGTTCAATTGAGTCACGAACGCAACCGACTTTTAAATCTCCAACGCCTTTTGTTTGGGCTCCATGCAAGACTAGGCATGCCAATTTCCTAAAAAGTGGAAAGAAGGAGGATGATATGTATCTCACTTTGTGGGTGATCAATCGTGCACGACTATTGTAACTGCTTTTCAAAATCATTCAAACTAACATGTCAATGTGACTCAATGTGTCTGCAACTGTTTGTATGTTCTTTCCAGCTAACGCGAGGAGTTGGAGCAGCGCTTAAACAGAGCGCTCGAGGAGAAGGAGGTCAAGGAGAGCCAGGCTGGACAGGGGGACATTACACGACATGTTTTGCACCAGATTCTTCAAAGCATCCAAACATGGCAGGGGAATGTGATGGTTGTGGATGGATGGGCAGGTACATCAAATTTAGTCTATCAGAGACTCAAGTTCACTCAAGGGTCCAGCAACTTTCACACACTGTGAGAGACAGAATGTCACGCTGTCAGGTTGGTGTCATTACTATGGCGATTGAACAGCTCTTCTCCCGAACTGTGAATTCCTGCCGTTTACCGCAGCGGAAGAAGGCCGCATGGAGTCAATCTTGCGTAGCCAGGAATAAATCACACAATTGACACACGCCATGTGATTCAATTTGACAAATTGAGGTTCGATTTTATTTTTGACAAGCTACTCTTGTGTTTCCATTCAAGATTGCGATCATGCAGATTAACTTTTCCTTCGCGCTCCGAATCTGATTTGAAAAGGCTTGCAATTGGCCTTAGAGCAGGAAATCTGCAGTCCGAAGTCAATCAATTCTCCGAAGTCAATGCAGTTTATAGAAGTCTTCTGCAGACCTCAGATGCAAGTCGTTTGAGCAACTTGCGAGGCGATGATGGTGCCTGCCTCAGAGTCATGCAAAGTTGCCCAAAGCATGGCATGGTCGGTGACTGCACGAGACTTTGGTAGGGAACTTGTTGAATCGAAACACTTGTCTTGCTTCCTGTGCGACAGCTTTTACTGCGTGCCTTTCAACAAAAACCTAATGCAAGAGTTTTCTGTGCATTTAAGCTTTGGTACTGGGACATTAAGAGCAAAAAGGTAGAGGAATAATTACCCTTCAGGCCCTCACAGATCTTTTGCTTCCACATTTTGTTGCCTGAACGCGGCTCCACACCTTCACACACACACATCTGTTGATCATCCTGGTTTTGGACTTCGTTTTTGCCTCACCCTCTTCCAACAAGTTGTTTCAAGTCGGTGAGCGCGTTGCCAAGGACGCTACGGACATCAAGTTTGCACCGGTCCGGGGTGACAAAGGTGACGCTCGTTTGGAGGACACAAATTTGCAGCCTGTAGACTTGACGAAGTTGAATTTGAAGATGTGTAAAGAGTGGGTGATTTAGCACAAGTTGACTAATGCACATTACTAGTAGCACAGTCAGACCAATGTAAACCAAATGAGTGGACCGTTGTATCCTTGCAATTCTGCGGAGGAAATGTTCAAGCAGATCATCGAGCGCGTAGAAGACTTGCAGGCTCTGTCACACCGTGCAGATCGTACAGATCTTACATGAAGAAATATTCGATGTTACCAATTCTGCCAGAGATAAAGCGCGTGTACACAAAAAGATGTAAAACAAGATGCAGCCCACGAACCCGAATGCAGTCACGTAGAACTCTTTTGTGAAACAAGTTATTTGGAATATTTGAACAGTCTTGTACATTTTTCCCGTGTTACCGTACCAGTGCACTGTCGACTGTGGAATAAGGAAGAGGGTGGAGTGCAAAGTGTGGAGTGTAGAGTGTAAACTTTGGAGTGTAGAGTGTAAAGTATAGAGTGTAGAGTGTGGAGTGTAAAGTGTAAAGTGTTGAGTGTGGAGTGTGGAGGGTAGAGTGTGGAGTGTAAAGGGTGGAGTGTGGAGTGTAAAGTGTGGAGTGTAAAATGTAGAGTGTAAAGTGTGGAGTGCAAAGTGTGGAGTGTGGAGTGTGGAGTGTAAAGTGTGGAGTGCGGAGTGTAAATTGCAAAGTGTGGAGTGCAAAGTGTGGAGTGTGGAGTGTAAAGTGTGGAGTGCGGAGTGTAAATTGCAAAGTGTGGAGGGTAAAGTGTGGAGTGTGGAGTGTGGAGTGTAGACTGCGGAGTGTAAAGTGTAAAGTGTGGAGTGTAGAGTGTGGAGTGTGGAGTGTGGAGTGCGGAGTGTAAATTGCAAAGTGTGGAGAGTAAAATGTGGAGTGTGGAGTGTGGAGTGTAGACTGCGGAGTGTAAAGTGTAAAGTGTAAAGTGTGGAGTGTAGAGTGTGGAGTGTGGACTGTGAAGTGTAAAGTGTAAAGTGTGGAGTGTAAAGTGTGGAGTGTAAAGTGTAGAGTGTGGAGTGTAGAGTGTCGAGTGTAGAGTGTGGAGTGTAAAGTGTAGAGTGTAAAGGTAAAGTGTAAAGTGTGGAGTGTGGAGTGTAAAGTGTAGAGTGTGGAGTGTAGAATGTGGAGTGCACAGTTTGGAGCGTGGAGTGTGGAGTGTAGAGTGTGAAGTGTAAAGCGTAAAGTGTGGAGTGTGGAGTGTAAAGTGTGGAGTGTAAAGTGTGGAGAGTGGAGTGTAGGGTGTGGACTGTAGAGTGTGGAGTGTAAAGTATAGAGTGTGAAGTGTGGAATGTAAAGTGTGGGGTGTCGAGTGTAGAGTGTGGAGTATAAAGTGTGGAGTGTGGAGTGTAAAGTTCAAAGCGTGGAGTGTAGAGTGTGGAGTGCAAAGCGTAAAGTGTGTGTGGAGTGTAAAGTGTAAAGTGTTGAGTGTAAAGTGTAGAGTGTGGAGTGCAAAGTGTGGAGTGTGCAGTGTGGAGTGTAAAGTGTAGAGTGTGGAGTGTGGAGTGTAAAGTGTAGAGTGTGGAATGTAAAGTGTGGGGTGTCGAGTGTAGAGTGTGGAGTGTGGAGTGTAAAGTGTGGAGTGTGGAGTGTAAAGTGTAAAGTGTAGAGTGTGGAGTGTAGAGTGTGCAGTGTAAAGCGTAAAGTGTGGAGTGTAAAGTGTGGAATGTAAAGTGTGAAGTGAAAAGTGTGGAGTGTAGAGTGTGGAGTGTAAAGTGTAAAGTGTGGAGTGTAGAGTGTGGAGTGTGGAGTGTGGAGTGTGGAGTGTAGAGTGTGGAGTATAAAGCGTAAAGTGTGGATTGTGGAGAGTGGAGTGTAAAGTGTGGAGTGTGGGGTGTGAAGTGTAAAGTGCGGAGTGTGGAGTGGAGAGTGTGGAGTGGAGAGTGTGGAGTGTAGAGCGTGGAGTGTAACGTGTAAAGTGTGGAGTGTGGAGTGTAGAGTGTGGAGTGTGAAGTGTTCAGTGCCAGGCGTGGAGTGTAAAGTGTGGAGTGTAGAATGTGGAGTGTAAAGTGTAAGGTGACGAACTGCCATGCCTGTCACGCAGAACCACGTTACAACTGGCTTTGAAACCTTGAAACAGGATGCGTTTTGCAGCTTCCCCCATAGAGACTCGAGACGAGACATGCTGGAGCATCAAGACGAGCATTTCGTCTGAGACCCCCCTAATTTTCACATTTTGTAGCTTCAGAATCCAGGTTTTCCTACGGGTTTTCTTGTGAACCTCGAAATTTGCTACCTCAAAATCGATGTTTCGTGCAAGGCGTCCGTCAATTTTCAGCACATCTCACAAAATGCCACGCCTGCCACGGAATTTGCACCTTGTCACCAGTTGAGGCAGCCCTGACGATGCGATTCGCAAAAAACACGCAACACGACTCCTCTAAAGTGCTGCGCCTGCCACGCAACATGACGATGGAGGTTGCCGAAGTGCCTGCGCCTGCCACGAAAACTGGAACTCATCTTCTGAAAACGTCGCAAAAGTATTGCGCCTGCCATACAAAGCGACTTTCGACACGTTACGAAACACGTCTGAATGTCACGAAGTGCCATGCCTGCCACGCGAAACGAGGCTACGCGACATTGGAAACCTCTAAAAGTGACCCCTGTTGCAGAACTTGCCATAGGCACTGCCATAGCGACCTCGCGCGACCGCCCGCGAACGGTTGCGAACGGTTGGGCAACGTCGAGCGAACACACCCTCAACCCCCAGACCCCAGAGTTAAACGGGAACCCTTGCTACGCATTCGGGAAAAAAACTCATCTCTTCTATGTCAAACTCCCAAAGTGCAGAGGGTGTACCAAAGAGATGAGCCTGAGGTGAGATGAAATCTTGTCACAAAAGGAGAGCATGTTAGGTCCTGTTAGGTTCTGCTTAGAGTATAAGTTAGGGCCGTCATATTTTTCAACATGTATATTAGCTTCTCATTGAGCTTCCCAAGTGGTCTAAGGCGTGATGGCATGGAAACCTTGTTTTTTTCGATGTTTTTTTTTGTTTTTTTTGCATGTAGAGATTTTTTTTTGTACGTGGTGGCTCTTTTTGTTTTCGCTGTCCTGTACTCTTTCTCAGTAGAAAGTTCCTGGGAGGAGATGCATGCAACTGCAACTGCCCAGCTGAACAGAGAGAAGCAGAAGGAGGACCCACATTTCTATTAGAAAAATGAGTTTGAAACAATGCCACAAAATACGGGTTCGATGTTTCTACTAGACATCTATAGAAGGAGAATCGAAGAGTACTTTGTGTGATCTGCTTTCGATTCTGCGTCAATTTTCAATTAGGGCAGGCCGTTGAAATCGTTGAACTCCATTGAGATATGGTGCAGTTTTGAGAATTATGAAACACAAAGTGAGCACAAAGTACTTGAGGACGATGGCATCTTTGATGAACGCGGCTTCATGGACCGAATCAAGTTCGTCTATCAACGAGGCTCGACTGTGTCGACATATCCTTACCGAAGTGCTGGCAAGCGGATGCAACGAGTTTATTGCTCCAAGGAACTCTTCACAAGATTTATGTTGTGAACCGACGGAAAAAAACTTTACCTTGCAGCAATGTCATTCACAAAAAACGAACCCCACCCCCCAGAACCCCCCTGCCCAAATACATAACTTTGAAATAACATGGAATAAGAAAATTACCTGGAAATAACGTAGAAATGAAAAGTAATTTGGAAATAACCCCTAATTAAAAGTTATTTCCCGGAATTAATGGTTATTTCCAGGTTGTAAACTTTGCATCCTGTCCCATCAAATCTACTTGAGAAGCAAGTCTAAATCACTTGTTAAGCGGAGGGATCTTTAATTAACAATCCCAACACAACATTGTAGCCTGAACGGGCCCTTTTTGCTGCCATCGTTCCACATGAGATTTTCTTTTTTTGCCATTTATGTCTAGGCACTTGTTTTTCCTGCATTCTTGAATCCCATTTGTTTTTACCATATGTTCTAGACTATTTCCCGGTTATTTCCAAAACATCATTGTTTCTTGTGTATTTTTCCATGGTTTTCACCTTATTTCCACCTTATTTCCAGGTTGTTTCCAGGTTATTTCCAAATTATTTTCAAAATCTTACTTTTTCCTATATATATAGATATATATTTCCACGGTTTTCGCCTAATTTTCTACCTTATTTCCAAGTTATTTCCAAAATCTCACTCTTTCCTGTATTTTTCCATGGTTTCGACCTTATTTCCACCTTATTGCCAGGTTATTTCCAAATTATTCCTAGCTTATTTCCAAAATCTCACTCTTTCCTATATTTTGCCATGGTTTTCACCTTATTTCGGCCTTATTTCCAAGTTGTTTCCAGGTTATTTCCAACTTATTTTTAAAGTCTTACTTTTCCCATATATGTTTCGCCTTATTTTCCACCTTATTTCCAAGTTATTTCCAAATATGTTCAATTCGCTTTCCAATTAATCTGGCCGTTTTCCATTAAGCAACCAAAGCTGGCAAGAGAAGCAGCAGATACGCGGTATGTTTTTTGAAGGATGGAAACCCTAAACATAGATCACTCTCTGGAAGAACCTGCTCGTCTAGCTAATGTCGCCATCTCATCATCGGAATGACCCTCCAGCTTTCGGTTCTCAGTGGCAAGTGGTAACCAGGCAAATCTTCATTGGAGACTATTTGTTTGGGGAGGGGGGTCTGAGGGGGGGTTTGACACCTGTGAACGTCATCTCCTATTGCTGGTGTCGCGCTGCTTCTGGTATTTAGGGGTTCATTTTCTTCACTCATTCTTGTGTTCTCTTTGAACCTGTTTTTTTGGTGCACATTTGTGAATGGAAGAGGTTCCTCTCTTTCCTTTCTATCCCACATTCTCGCAACTCGCTTGCTGTGAGGTGATGATGATCTCCGGCGGAGGCCACAAGAAAACGAAACAATAAGATGGAAGACATCAAAACACGATTTGACCTGTGCAAAAACGAGGATAGTGCAGACAGATGCAGGTAGATGTTTCATGATTATGTGGTAAGTATATATATATATGTATATATATATATGTATATATATGTATATATATATACATATGCATGTCTGTAATGTAATGGAATGGAATGTAACGTAATGTAATGTAATGTATGTAATGTAATGCATGTATGTATGTAATGACATGTATGTATGTATGGTATGTATGGTATGTATGGTATGTATGGTATGTATGCAGTGTAATGTAATGTGAATGTAAATGTAAATGTAAATCGATGTAATATAATGTAATGTGATGTGTTGTGATGTGTTGTGATGTGTTGTGATGTGATGTGGTGTGATGTGATGTGATGTATGTAATGTATGTATGTATGTCTGTCTGTCTGTATGTATGTATGTATGTATGTAATGTATGTATGTATGTATGTATGGATGGATGGATGGATGGATGGATGGTATGTATGGTATGTATGGTATGTATGGTATGTATGTTATGTATGTTATGTATGTCATGTATGCCATGTATGTCATGTATGTCATGTATGTCATGTATGTCATGTATGTCATGTATGGTATGTATGTTATGTATGTCATGTATGCCATGTATGTCATGTATGTCATGTATGTCATGGATGTCATGGATGTCATGGATGTCATGGATGTCATGGATGTCATGGATGTGATGGATGTAATGGATGTAATGGATGTAATGGATGCAATGGATGTAATGGATGTAATGGATGTAATGGATGTAATGGAATGCAATGGAATGCAATGGAATGCAATGCAATGTAATGTAATGTAATGTATGTAATGAATGTATGAATGTATGTATGTGTGTATGTGTGTATGTGTGTATGTATGTATGTAGGTATGTAGGTAAGTTATGAATGTATGTATGTATGTATGCATGTGTGTAATGAAATAAATGAATGAATGAATGAAGTGAATGAATGAATGAATGGAATGAAATGAAATGGAATGAAATGAAATGAATTGAATGAATGAATGAATGAATGAAATGCAATGCAATGAAATGAAATGGAATGAAATGAAATGAAATGAATGAATGAATGAATGAATGAATGAAATGAATGAATGAATGAATGAATGAAATGAATGAAATGAATGAATGAATGAAATGAAATGAAATGAAATGAAATGAATGAATGAATGAATGTATGAAATAAATCAAATGAATGATTGATTGATTGAATGAATGAATGAATGAATGAAATGAATGAATGAATGAATGAAATGAATGAAATGAATGAATGAATGAAATGAAATGAAATGAAATGAAATGAAATGAATGAATGAATGAATGAATGAATAAATGAATGAATGAATGAAATGAATGAATGAATGAATGAATGAAATGAATGAATGAATGAATGAATGAATGAATGAAATGAATGAATGAATGAATGAATGAAATGAATGAATGAATGAATGAATGAATGAATGCTTGAATGCATGAATGCATGATTGCATGAATGAATGAATGAATGGATGAATGAATGAATGAATGAAATGAATGAAAATGAAAT